CATTCTGTCAGGAGAACCCTGAAACCCTGAACCCTAAACCCGAATAAGAGCCTTCAAGACCTCCTTTAGACAGGCATGCAAAGAAGGGTATTCAGGGCTTCTCTTGGGGTGGCGACTTGAGGGTTTCGGGTTACGAGGCTTTAGGGGTTCCGAGGGCTCATTGTTAAGTTGGGGCATTCGCCACGGCCGAGCGGCTTCTTGTCCTTCCAGTTCACCTGCGCCTGTGGGGTTAAGGGTTAAGGGTTAAGGGTTAGGGGTTAAGTGCTAAGGGCTAAGGGTTAAGGGTTAAGGGTTAAGGGTTTAGGGTCTAATTAGGGTTGCCTGCGGGTTGATTTTTGAGGAATTCAACAGGGCTCAGGCTCAACAAGGCTGGTCCTGCTGGTTCATTGTACCCAATTAGAACTGTACTAATTAATTTATTAACCCGCTTCTGAGCCCCTGAAGTGCCCCAAAACGGTTAGAAGTCCTAAACCTAAACCCTAAACCCTAAACCCTAAACCCAAAACCCTAAACCCTAAACCTTAAACCCTAAACCCTAAACCCTAAAAACTAAACAGTTACGATTGGTTAATAAGTACCACGAACCTCCAAGGGCAGCGTGGTCCGGATGCTGGTCCTGATGCTTACGACTAGGATGGCTGGGCCAGAACCCGGTCTTCTTGCCGGTGATGCTGCTTTCGTGGCGCTTCTGCGGTAAAAAGGATGCAAGGCCGATGCTCACGATGCTGGGCTCTGGGCCGGTTTTGAAGTGAAAGGGCGCGCGGCTGATGCTCGTGATGCTGGGCTCTGGGCCGGTTTGGAAGTGAAAGGGCACACGGCTGATGTTCGTGATGCTGGGCTCTGGGCCGGTTTGGAAGTGAATGGGCGCACTTCGGATGCTCGTGATGCTGGGCTCTGGGCCGGCTTGGAAGTGAAAGGGCGCGCGGCTGATGCTCGTGATGCTGGGCTCTGGGCCGGTTTGGAAGTGAAAGGGCACACGGCTGATGTTCGTGATGCTGGGCTCTGGGCCGGTTTGGAAGTGAATGGGCGCACTTCGGATGCTCGTGATGCTGGGCTCTGGGCCGGCTTGGAAGTGAAAGGGCGCGCGGCTGATGCTCGTGATGCTGGGCTCTGGGCCGGTTTGGAAGTGAAAGGGCACACGGCTGATGTTCGTGATGCTGGGCTCTGGGCCGGTTTGGAAGTGAAAGGGCGCGCGGCTGATGCTCGTGATGCTGGGCTCTGGGCCGGTGAAGTGAAAGGGCGCACGGCTGATGCTCGTGATGCTGGGCTCTGGGCCTGAAGTGAAAGGGCGCGGCTGATGCTCGTGATGCTGGGCTCTGGGCCGGCTTGAAGTGAAAGGGCGCACTTCTGATGCTCGTGATGCTGGGCTCTGGGCCGGTTTGGAAGTGAAAGGGCGCAAGGCCGATGCTCGTGATGCTGGGCCCTGGGCCGGTTTTGAAGTGAAAGGGCGCGCGGCTGATGCTCGTGATGCTGGGCTCTGGGCCGGTTTTGAAGTGAAAGGGCACACGGCTGATGCTCGTGATGCTGGGCTCTGGGCCGATTTTGAAGTGAAAGGGCACACGGCTGATGCTTGTGATGCTGGGCTCTGGGCCGGTTTGGAAGTGAAAGGGCGCAGCTGATGCTCGTGATGCTGGTCTGGGCCGGTTTTGAAGTGAAAGGGCGCACGGCTGATGCTCGTGATGCTGGGCTCTGGGCCGGTTTTGAAGTGAAAGGGCGCAAGGCTGATGCTCGTGATGCTGGGGTCTGGGCCGGTTTTGAAGTGAAAGGGCGCACGGCTGATGCTCGTGATGCTGGGCTCTGGGCCGGTTTTGAAGTGAAAGGGCGCACAGCTGATGCTCGAGATGCTGGGCTATGGGCCTGTCTTGAAGTGAAAGGGCGCGCGGCTGATGCTCGTGATGCTGGGCTCTGGGCCGGTTTAAAGGGCGCACGGCTGATGCTCGTGATGCTGGGCTCCAGGCCGTTTTTGAAGTGAAAGGGCACACGGCTGATGCTCATGATGCTGGGCTCTGGGCCGGTTTTGAAGTGAAAGGACAGGCTGATGCTCGTGATGCAGGGCTTTGGGCCGGTTTTGAAGTGAAAGGGCGCACGGCTGATGCTCGTGGTGCTGGTCTCTGGGCCGGTTTTGAAGTGAGAGGGCGCGCGGCTGATGCTCGTGATGCTGGGCTCTGGGCCGGTTTTGAAGTGAAAGGGCGCACGGCTAATGCTCGTGATGCTGGGCTCTGGGCCGGTTTTGAAGTGAAAGGGCGCAGATGCTGGGCTTTGGGCCGGTTTTGAAGTGAAAGGGCGCACGGCTGACGCTCGTGAATAGGGGCTCTGGGCCGGTTTTGAAGTGTAAGGGCGTGTGGCTGATGCTCGTGATGCTGGGCTCTGGGCCGGTTTTGAAGTGAAAGGGCGAATGATGATGCTCGTGATACTGGGCTCTGGGCCGGTTTTGAAGTGAAAGGGCGCACGGCTGATGCTCGTGATGCTGGGCTATGGGCCTGTCTTGAAGTGAAAGGGCGCGCGGCTGATGCTCGTGATGCTGGGCTCTGGGCCGGTTTAAAGGGCGCACGGCTGATGCTCGTGATGCTGGGCTCTGGGCCGGTTTTGAAGTGAAAGGGCAAGCTCATGCTCGTGATGCAGGGCTCTGGGCCTTTTTTGAAGTGAAAGGGCGCAAGGCTGATGCTCGTGATGCTGGGCTCTGGGCTGGTTTTGAAGTGAAAGGGCGCACGGCTGATGCTGGTGATGCTGGGCTCTGGGCCGGTTTTGAAGTGAAAGGGCGCACTTCTGATGCTCGTGATGCTGGGCTCTGGGCCGGTTTGGAAGTGAAAGGGCGCAAGGCCGATGCTCGTGATGCTGGGCCCTGGGCCGGTTTTGAAGTGAAAGGGCGCGCGGCTGATGCTCGTGATGCTGGGCTCTGGGCCGGTTTTGAAGTGAAAGGGCACACGGCTGATGCTCGTGATGCTGGGCTCTGGGCCGATTTTGAAGTGAAAGGGCACACGGCTGATGCTTGTGATGCTGGGCTCTGGGCCGGTTTGGAAGTGAAAGGGCGCAGCTGATGCTCGTGATGCTGGTCTGGGCCGGTTTTGAAGTGAAAGGGCGCACGGCTGATGCTCGTGATGCTGGGCTCTGGGCCGGTTTTGAAGTGAAAGGGCGCAAGGCTGATGCTCGTGATGCTGGGGTCTGGGCCGGTTTTGAAGTGAAAGGGCGCACGGCTGATGCTCGTGATGCTGGGGTCTGGGCCGGTTTTGAAGTGAAAGGGCGCACAGCTGATGCTCGTGATGCAGGGCTCTGGGCCTGTCTTGAAGTGAAAGGGCGCGCGGCTGATGCTCGTGATGCTGGGCTCTGGGCCGGTTTTGAAGTGAAAGGGCGCAGATGCTGGGCTCTGGGCCGGTTTTGAAGTGAAAGGGCGCACGGCTGACGCTCGTGATGCTGGGCTCTGGGCCGGTTTTGAAGTGTAAGGGCGTGTGGCTGATGCTCGTGAATAGGGGCTCTGGGCCGGTTTTGAAGTGAAAGGGCGCACTTCTGATGCTCGTGATGCTGGGCTCTGGGCCGGTTTGGAAGTGAAAGGGCGCAAGGCCGATGCTCGTGATGCTGGGCCCTGGGCCGGTTTTGAAGTGAAAGGGCGCGCGGCTGATGCTCGTGATGCTGGGCTCTGGGCCGGTTTTGAAGAGACTGGCTGGGCCGGTTTTGAGGTGAAAGGGCGCACAGCTGATGCTTTGAAGTGAAAGGGCGCGCGGCTGATGCTCGTGATGCTGGGCTCTGGGCCGGTTTTGAAGTGATAGGGCGCATGGCTGATGTTTTGAAGTGAAAGGGCGAATGATGCTCGTGATGCTGGGCTCTGGGCCGGTTTTGAAGTGAAAGAGCACACGGCTGATGCACGTGATGCTGGGCTCTGGGCCGGTTTTGAAGTGAAAGGGCGCGCGGCTGATGCTCGTGATGGGGCTCTGGGCCGGTTTTGAAGTGAAAGGGCGCACGGCTGATGCTCGTGATGCTGGTCTCTGGGCCGGTTTTGAAGTGAAAGGGCGCACGGCTGATGCTCGTGATGCTGGGCTCTGGGCCGGTTTTGAAGTGAAAGGGCGTGCGGCCGAAAGGTCGCACGGCTGATGCTCGTGATGCTAGGCTCTGGGCTGGTTTGATGCTCGTGATGCTGGGCTCTGGGCTGGTTTTGAAGTGAAAGGGCGCAAGGCTGATGCTCGTGATGCTGGGCTCTGGGCCGGTTTGGAAGTGAAAGGGCGCACGGCTGATGCTCGTCATGCTGGGCTCTGGGCCGGTTTGAGGTTGATGGGGGTTGAAGGTGGAGTTTCGATGCATGGGTCCCGCCTGGCCTCGGCGTACACAAAGCTGGCAATGTCATCTATGTCTTGCTCCTCATTAGATGTTGAGCTCGGTCGTTTGGGAAGGGGGGGGAAGCTTCAGGGTTTGCAGCTTTCGATTTCTGGTGGGCAGGATCAAGAGGGTTTGGGGAAGGAAGAGACTAAACAGGCGAGAACCGAACACACCGGAGAAAACACGCCCAGAGTTCATGCTTGAGGCCTTCGAACCTGCTTTCATCTGGGGTGCCGTGGCAAAGTACCTCTCTCAAAAATGCAGCTGCCAAGTAGATGGTCTTCTTCAAGGTTTATAAAGACCCTCAACCCCCAAACCCTCAGCCCTCTAGACTCCAGGGCCCCCCTAGAAACTTATCCCAAGCAGGCTCTGGGCCACTGCCTTTGAAACCCACATCTGAACTGTCAGGTGTCGGCTGCAGGGGCCATTAGTAGGGGTCGAGAGAGTCGGGTTTGCCCTTCCCAACTAATCAGAATCAGAACAAAAACGACACAAATCTGGAAAATCATACTTGGCAAAAACAACAAACGTAATGTAACAATGTAACACATGCTGAACCAATGACCCTTACACCGCAAGCCAATAAACATGAACCCAAAGCAAGGGTAACATAAGCAAAAGCCACAGAAGTGAACAAACGATTTCATAATGCCAAGCAAACACACACGCAAACGCGCCAAAACATCGAGGGCTCACATGCGCACAGCTGACACCAACTGCCGGCGAGGAACGCCAAGCTTGCCTCGGAAACTTGGCATGGGTGCTTGGCCGTTGCTGACCTGGCAAGTTCCAACCCTAAACCCTAAACCCTAAACCCTAAACCCTAAACCCTAAACCCGGGCTTGAGAGGAAACATGCGACCGCTGTACGGCTAAGGGCTGAGGGGAGGGGGGGTTGAAGAAACAGTTTCCATGGTAGATACCAGGAAACCCTTGGTTTGGCCGTACCATGGGGTCTTTTATCCAGTACCCAACTCACCCTGCCCCCGACGAAAAGGAAACATGGAAACACGCGCGCCGGCCCGCGTGCTTGTCCGAACGACGTAGAAACCGCTCGTGTCGAAGCCCAAAACGGAGCCCGATAGAAACTCATCCAGACAAGGCTCGAGCTGTATTGTACAAGTTCCCGTGCGGCTATGGCTTCGGCATTGGGATGTCTAGGAAGAAGAGATTACCCCTAAACCGCATCACTCCCCACCCTAAACCCTAAACCCTAATCCCTACACCCCCTCCCTCTCAACAAAAGCTCCCGAAGCATGGCAAGACTTCCAGTCGGTTGCTCACGGCCCGAATTACTCAAAGCGCATAAGCTCTTGCTGAAAGAGGGGGGTTGGGATTCAGGCTGCGCGGTACCACTTGAAACAAGGTTGTGGGCTTAGGGTTAAGGGGTTTAGGGTTTAGGGTTATGTTTCGGAAGGCCGCCGGTGTAGGGTCTAGGGTCTAGGGTTTAGGGTCTAGGGTTCAGGGTTTAGGGTTTAGTGCTTTCGGGTTTCAAGTACGAAGGCGGCTGGGAGTTCCGCTTGAGATGTCGAGCTCGCTTCGCTAGGCTTGCTCCGAAACTACGTTGACATGAGGATTGCCCCGCACCTGCTGCGCGATCAACTCCACCGAGTTCTTCCCATTCCTGGCGAACTCATGCAGTCTAGGGTTTAGGGTTTAGGGTTTAGGGTTATAGGGTTTAGGGTTTATAAGGTTTAGGGTTTAGGGTTATAGGGGTCAGGGTTTAGGGTTTAGCATCTGAAACTGAAAGCCCTTGCAGATTCCATTTCGGTTTCGGGTTTGGGGTTTAGGGACCCACAAATCCCAAGGCCTTAGCTGTAGGGGCTCTGCAGCCCACTGCGCAGGCGCGGTTTCAGTCAACCGGCACCCCAAGTAGTCTTAGGGTTTAGGGTTTAGGGTTTGGGGTTTAGGGTTTAGGGTTTAGGGTGCGTATTAGGTTATAGGTCTACTCTTCCTTCCGGCTCCACAAGCATCAAACAGCCCCGCAAACACGCATCGCGCCTCTCCAGTGCGCTGCGCGAGAGGGTCTGCTGCCTTGTAAGGCCACTTGTGGGCTTCCTACCTTCTTGGGGTCAGATTAGAAGGGAATTCTACTAATTCTACTATTTGGGGTCTTTATGAGGTGTCCCTTATGTTCGTAACCCCCCACTTTCTATCAAGCTTTCTAGGGCTCAGGGTTTATAGGGCTTAGTGGGACCCCAACGAACACTCTGGATTAGAGCCGGGTTGGGTTTTTGAGAGGACACTAAACCACAAACAGTAGCGCCCCAAACCTGAAACACTAAACGCCCAATCAATGAATCAAACTGTTTAGACCCCAAACCCCGAAACTTCCTAAACCCCGAGGACGGCCAGGCGGCGGGTAGATTTTGTTGCCGCCGCCCGCGTGGCACGAGACGCAATTCCTAGGCTGTGTTCAGTGTTTGGCTACTGGGTAGAAAAGCTTTTGGGTAGAAATGGAGGAGCATGGGCGGACGTTTTGGGGAGTTTGGGGTGCGTCGTGCTTTCCAAAAGCATCAAAAGGTGAACTGCATGGAAAGGATTGGCGGCTTCTCTCATGGTGCCCACCCCACCTCGATGTAGGCAAACCAAAGTGTTTTAAAGGGCTTCAGACTTAAGAAGCTATCCCTAAACCCTATACCTTAAACCCTAAGCCCTAAACCCTATAAAAACCTGATCCCTAAGCCCCTGCCCTAATCCTGTTAGGGTTTAGGTTGGAATGTTCCCCCTTATACTAACACTCCTTCATAGGGATTATACTAGGGGGCACTATACTCCCTATGACCGACTGTTCGTATAAGGTGGAACATAGGGTTCTTGCCACCACGTCTCGCATCAAAGAGGGCCTGGCAGTGTCGACCAGAACCCGGCCACCACCCAAAACCCCTAAACCATGAACCCTGAACCCTAAACCCTAAACCCTACACCCTAAACCCTAAACCCTACAACCTAAACCCTCAACCCTAAACCATACACCCTAAACCCTAAACCCAAACGGGTTTAGGGTTTATAAACCCTAAACCCTAAGCCCTCCCAGAGCTCGGCACGATGCAGGCCCAAACCGTCAGATGCTGAGTAGGGTTTCTGGCCACTTTGGGTTTCCGGGTCTAGGGCTTAGGGCTTAGGGTTTATAGGGTTTAGGGGTTTGACGATTAGGATGAAAGTGAGTTTAGGCTTGAGGGTGTTGCGTTTGGTGTAGGGTTTGGGGCCTCAGAACTTGGGTTTCAGGGGGCTCTGAAAGCTGTTGATACATAAGATCATGTTACAGCCTCATGCCAAAAAAGGCAACAGTCTAGGGTTTGGGGGTTTGGGGGGGGGGGGGGGGGTTGGGGTTAAGGGTTGAAGCCTGAATCCTAAACCCAACGCCCTGAAGCCCAGAGACCTCGCCATTGACGAGGTCGGCAGCACGTGCTGGCACCGCTGCGAGTCCTTGTAGTGACGAGGGTCGAGCTTGTTGTTGAGGATGTAAGGCTAGGGTTGAGGAAGCATCCACAAGCATCCATTCTTGTAGATAGTGGGCGGATATAGTGTTCGTTCTTTGGGAACAATTTCGGAATACAGCCATACACGTGAGAAGTAGAAACCTGGCCCTAAAGCCCAGCGTTGGCTGGATGTGAGGATGAGCCCCCTGGTCCTGAACCGTAAGCCTCCACCTTGACCTCGATTGCTCGCTTGGTTTAGGTTTAGGGCTTCGGGTTTAGGGGCTGCAATCCCTACCGCGGGCATGCCAAATCTAAACCTCAAGATCTATGCAACGTGTCAAGCTTCTCCATGCTGGTAAGCCCGAGGTCCTCTGTAATCTAGAAAGACAAGCTAGCCATTCAGCTGTGGCTGAAAAAAATAGACCCAAGAGTTCCCGAGAAATAAAAGGGTGCCCTTTTGGGTTCACAGGGGCTTGTAAGGGAACCTAAACACAGAGAAAAAGGCTGCTCTGGGTCCTAGAAACAGCGACTCAAACACCCCTTGGAGCCCTAGCCACAGATTGTATACTTGCTGGGCCTTGGGATCCGCCTGAAGGGTTTAGGGTGTAGGGTTCAGGGTTTAGGGTTCAATCTCTAAATCCGATTACGGCAGAACGCCATACACCCCATGAAGCCTGATCCTCGAAGTAGCAACCCTACGCCCCTCAAGCCCTGAAAAGCCTCAATACCTCAAAGCACGAAACAACACCAAAACACCCAAAACAGCTTACACCCCTAACACAGCCTAAACCCTATCCCTAAGCCTAAACCCTAAACCCTAAACCCTAAACCCTAAACCCTAAACCCTAAACCCTAAACCCTAAACCCTAGACCCTAGACCCTCCACCCTAAACCCTAAACCCCAAGCCCCTCAAAACCCTAAAGCGACCGAGGGGTCCCAAGCAGGCGCTGCACAGAAGCAGCTGCCAGCCGGCCAGGTGCTCTCGCCGACGCACCTGGGAACTCGGGTACCTTACACTCGTATGCCCCCCGATTCCGGGTTTAGGGTTTAGGGTTTAGGGTTTAGGGTTTAGGGTTTAGGGTTTAGGGTTTAGGGTTTAGGGTTTAGGGTTTAGGGTTTAGGGGTTTCGGGTTTAGGGTTGTGGAGGGCTTACTCGTATCCCCCTGCATAGCGCTTTGAGGGATGGGGGTCTAGGGTTTGGGGTTACTTCCCTAAGCGTTCCATCTCTTTAAAGGCGTTCAGTGGGGGGTGAGGCGGAGTCCTCAAGAACTGTTTGCGAAGGTGGTGAAGTGCACTGAAACCCTAAGCCCTAAACCCTGAACCCTGAACCCTGATCCCTAAACCCTAAACCCAAAACCCAAAACCCTAAACCCTACCCTCAAATACCCCCATCCCCCAAGGAGCAGAGAGGCCGCGCGCCTCGCGGGGCCGGGGCGTTGCTGGGATGGGGGATGGCGCTGTGCGAGTGGAGGAGGCCAGCACCGGCCTGGTAGGGTTTAGGGTTTAGGGCTTAGGATTACGGGTCTAGGATTGAAGGTTTAGGGTTTAGGGTTTAGGATTTAGGGTTTACGGTTTAGGGATTAGGACTTAGGGTTAGGATTTTGGGTTCTGGGAGGTGCCATGTTGAACGAGTGTGTTTGTTTAGGGTTTAGTTAAACGGGATGGGGTGATGATCTAGAGCCTGAAGGATCTGGGTTTGGATCGACCTCACTCCTGGATCTACAGTTGGGGGAGGAGGGATCGTAGATCACGGGCTTGTGATGGGTTGACAAGACCTGCGGGATTGAATACCACAAACCCAGCCCCTGGAGCCCCGGAACCTGAAAGCCCAACATGCCGAGGTTTGGGGTTTAGGGCTGAGGGTCCTGAAGCTGAAGCGTTTGTATCTCAAGCTCCGGACACAAGAGCCTTACCCTGACACACAGGCCTCATGAGCTATCAGCTGCCAAGAATTGACAACAAGGGCCATATCGGGGAATACAAGTGAGTCTCAACGAGACTGGTATGCGGCGGAGGCACGACGATCTAAGTCGATTTCAGGACCGTGGCGGAGGATTAGGGCTTGCGGCTAAGGTATAAAACCCTAAACCCTAAACTCATGGGTTCAGGCGCTCCGGCCGCCAACCTAGCTTAAGAGCATGTTGCAAACTCATCTCTGCAAGGCACGCCGGCAAGCTGCCAGCGCGGCAGCACACAAGGAAGAGGCACAAGATGCGAAGCGCCATGGCGCTGAAGAGCCGCGAGCTACAGAAGTATCGCGAGCTCGGGGACCCGAAGCCCTAAACCCTCAACCCTTTACCCTCAACCCAAGACCCTGAACCCTGAACCCTATACCCTGATCCCGAACCCTACAGAGCCCAAACCCTGAACCCGCAAGCCGATCGGGCAGGAGGCCTGTGCTCAGCTTCCATCGGGACTTTCAGAGATTGCAAACCGTCCGTGCTTCGTCATTCTATATATATATATATATATATAGAAATATACATATATATATATATATATGTATATACCTTGCATTCGGAATCCATGGCAGATGGCAAGCCTTGCGGCTGCAGGCGATCCCTGGTGCGAGGCTCACTTGCAACGTCATCCATGGGTCCATGGCCCAAGGCTTATACGAACTTCATCTGCAGAGCATCAGGAGAGACCCCTGAAGATGCCGCAGACAACACTAGACCCAGGAGGAACCTCGGCATAACAAGGGTACCCCTTTGTTTGTGTTAAGGGGACCCAACCCTTCCAAAAAATGGAACCAAGGGCCTGGGGTCCTAGAACGGCATTCAGAGCTACTGAGGAACCGGATGTTGCACATGGCGCCCCCGCCTGGGTCTGTGGCATCCTCCCGCGGTGCTGCTGGATGCATCGGCTCGAAGCGAGCATGTCGAAGCGTGATTCTTGCAACAAGGCTGTGGGCTATCGAATGCCTCTGAAAAGCACATCTGTGCTCTTGTCTTGAAGACTTGTTGGGCAGGCTGTGGGGTGGAAGATGTGCGCGGGGCTTTGCAGTTTAAGTGGGCCGAACAGCCTGAAGTTTACGGATGCGATGCTATATAGTCTTTGGAGAAATTGACAACATCCCCAAAAAACGAAACCCTAAAGTCAAACCCCATAGGTCAAGGCTAGCTCGATATATCCTGGAAGCAATAAGCCTTCGCAGACACTCTTCAAGGGCTTAGGGTTTCGGGTTGAGGGCTTGGGGTTTAGGGTTCCAACTTGGACACAGTGCGGCCATGTATGTTTCGCCAATGCCAACCAAGAGAACTTGCAGCTCGAGGGTCGGTTCATCCTCCAACGACCAACCCCCTAAAACTTAGCATCGTTCCATGAATGGCCTGGACCATCCGAAGCTCGAAAATTGCCAAGCTTGAGCCCCAAACCCTGAACCCTGATTCGACCATGTGTCTGTGGGGTCGGGTTCCTCCATGAGGGGGACTGTTGGGTGCCTATACTTCTCAAGCCCCGAAATGATAAGGGTATCCAAGCAGGACCTTAACTCAGGCAGCCTTGCACCACTCAAGCAGGGGCAAGGGGAGGACCTCCCACAAAGCGATGCCACCACCCATCACCGCATCCAATGCCTGCCTGCCCGCATGAGAAGGCTGCAGAACATAAGCCGTGGAAATGGGGGGGGCTTGCACTTGTCGAGGGGGTGGCCAGGTTTCGGTCAACATTTGGCCTTTTGCCGGCCATGCGAAGGGGTTTGGTTGGCACCGAGCTCACAATGCAGAAGAAGGCAGCTTTATTTGGCCCAGCCAGTTGAGGGTTTCTTGGCGCTGCGCATCGAGTACCTACGAGTTTCGGGCGTTAACATCCCTAACCCCGAAGCACTCGAAGGGCTCAGGGGTTAGGGTTTGGTGTTCCGGGTTTTGGGTTTCCCTAAACCTTGAAGAACCCATGACTATACCGAATACTCCTCCTAGAACCATGTGGGCGGTTGTCAAAATTATGATCCCTTTTGGGGTACCCTAAATATTCGGTGCCGTATTATAATAGGGATCCAAGAAGGGGCGATAATTTTGACAACCACCCATGTATGCATGCAAGGATAACCCTATCAACCCTATAAACCCTATAAACCCTTTAAACCCTAACCCTATAAACCCTAAAAACCCTAAAAACCCTAAAAACCCCTAAAAACCCTAAACCCTCAACCGAAACCCTCACCCAAAAAACATGCGAGGAGGACCATTGCCAGGCCATGTGCGATTCTGCCTGAACAGGGAAACAGCTGTGTCACCAAGCCCCAAACCAGCCCCAAACCCCCCTAAACCCTTAACCCCTAAATTCTACCCCCGCGCCCCTTACCTCCCTTGCCTCCCCTCGCCCTCGCCCCCCCTCGCCTTGGCCCCCTCTGTCGCCTCCTTCCAAAAAGAAAAAAAGAAAGTATCACTGAACGGGCCTGGAATCACAAACTCCATGACTCGACAAACGCCAAAAAAGAAGTGACAGCTGGACAAGTGCCCCAACTAGTACTGTCTGAAGACTGAATAACTCATACATTTCCGACTGATGACGAAAGGCGTATGAATCGCCCTAAACCTTTTTCCCTACACCCAAAACGCAAATCCCACAACCTTAACCTTAAACCCTTGCACAAGTCACTCAAGTCCTTTACACCCCCCTCACCTCAATCAACCTCACAGTGCAACCTTAAACCATCGTAAGGCCTAAGCCCCTAAGCCACCACCAGGGGCTTTAAGGCTGATACAGTGCGAAGGGGTGTAGGCTGGAGGGAGCCTTATAACTCGTAAGGAAGTCAGGTGCCTACGCCACGAAGATGTCAAGTCTCAATGCAGTCTGGCAGCTAGATTCTGCACGCGGTTCTTGAGCTGCGCCCTGTCCGTGTGCTGACCTGCTGTGTATAGGGCAAAGGGGTCTAAACCATGAGGTTTTACAGGGTTTAGGGTTGCACTGCATCTGAACACAGAGTCTCCCCCTGTTGCGCCAAAAGACCCACGATTTCTGACCTTGCAAGTCCAGGCACTTGCACCGACCCCTAAAACACCTGAACAACATAATGTGACCAGTGCAGCGGCCCGTCAGATGAGAATTGTTGTAGCTATTATTCTTTTTGTTTGTATACGGGCAACACAATGTTGCAGTTCCTGTATCACCTAACATGCCGTCTGAGTTTTGGCAGCAAATCCGACGGCCCACACCCCCGAAGCTTTCCCAACCCGTCACCCAATCATGCGACGCAGCTGCAGCTGAACTTGGCCCGGTGTCCCTATGCCGTCTAAAGAAACTAAGCGCCAAACCTCACAAACCCTACAACTCCTAGAACCCCTAGAAACCCTCCAGGGTTTCTAGGGCTTCTAGGTTTCCAGGATTTCTAGCCCTACAAACCCTACAATCCCGACAAACCCTACAAACCCCCGCTTCGGCTAGGAGAGGCGAGCCCCGGAGGGCTATAGATAGGGTAGTTACATAAGGGCCGGGACCCTATATGCCTTATATACCCTATACAACCAAAGGGCCCACATTCCTGAATCCCTTAAAGAAGGTAAGGGACCAGGAAAAGGGACCACAGAACTGCCCTCAGACTCTTGGCATGCCCCAAGGTGTCTCCTAAAATTCCAGGGTTTCGGGGCTGCTTGAGGGGCGGAGTCTAGGGGTTGGGCCACGTTCTGTTATATTATACATATACACACATGTATTTATCTATTTATGTATTTCTTCATACACATCTTCTATGTACATGAGTTGTTGGCTTTTTGTTTTGGGCTTGGGGATTCTTAAAGGGAAGGCCGCAGTTACACGAAGGCGGCTGAGGCCTTCCAGCTTCTCACGCACGAGCCGGTCGAACCTTGGCAATCGGGCCAACTTTGGAAGGGGGGGGGGGAGGGCGGGGGGGGCGGCGGGGGGTTCGGGTTTAGGGTTTAGGGTTTAGGGTTTAGGGTTTAGGGTTTAGGGTTTAGGGTTTAGGGTTTAGGGTTTAGGGTTTAGGGTTTAGGGTTTAGGGTTTAGGGTTTAGGGTTTAGGGTTTAGGGTTTAGGGTTTAGGGTTAGGTTTAGGGTTTAGGGTTTAGGGTTTAGGGTTTAGGGTTTAGGGTTTAGGGTTTAGGGCTTAGGGCTTAGGGTTTGGGTGGGTTTGGAGTTTAGGGTCTAGGGCTTCCAGGGTTTGGGTGGGTTTGGAGTTTAGGGTCTAGGGCTTCTAGGGTTTAGAGTTGAGAGTTGAGGGTTTCGGGATAGGTAGGGGCCACGGTTGTCCCGCTGGAGGTTTTTTTGGTGCCATGGCAGCGCGTTGGCGATTCGACTCGACCCCCACCTCACAGCCAGAGCAATTCCTTTCAGCTGGGCACCCCAAACCCTAACCCTAAACCCTAAACCCTAAACCCTAAACCCTAAACCCTAAACGCCAGGGGTGGGTTAAAGCATGTATGCAGGGGCGTGCCCACGACTGGAGTCCGATAGTGCGGGCTCCACGAGTCCCTAGGCGCTGTAAACCCTATACAAGCTCTGTAACCCTAAACCCTAAACCCTAAACCCTAAACCCTAAACCCTAAACCCTAAACCCTAAACCCTAAATCCCATAAAAAAAAAAAAAAACCCAGAACGCTTAGTAGAACCCTATTTATCATCCCGAGAAGCCCTATGATTCCTATAATACCAAACAAAAGCAAGACGCTAAACATGCAACCCCGTTGTCGCCCGAGGTCTGGGGTTTAGGGTTTAGGGTTTAGGGTTTAGGGTTTAGGAACAGCAAGCAAAGAAGGGGTCGTAGGAGCTCTTTTCCTGAAGCTGCGGTGTCGTAGCAATGCGCTTTTCCCGCGTGATCCGAAAAGCGTGGAATCCAGGCTGTCAGGCCAGGCCAGACGGTGAATGACCCTCAAGCCCACCTTTGCCCCCAGAACTCAAGAGACTATGAACCCCCAAGGCAGAAGTGGGAGTGCCCAATATGAAAGGTATGTAAGGTTTAATTTTAAGGCTTCATTTCAATTTAAGGCTAAGAAGCCAGAGGAAACCTACACCATGAGGCAACGCGAGAAAGCTCTGAGTCTCAGTGGTGAAGAGGTATTTGCGAACGGATACATGTCAATCGGCAAGTGTATGTAACGGGGTAAGATGTAAAGGGTCCCAAAAGCATCTTGTCGGGAACGATATCTTAAGGGTGGCTGATGCCTTCTGCTGTGAATCCGGCACATGGTCAGATCACCAAAAACTTGTGGGTCCTTTCTGGGACGTGTCAAGATGAGACCCCATAAACGAACAAATATACGTCCCGA